ATTCGGTGCGTTCATCTTGTCGAAACGATTCCAACAATAACTCACCAACCTAACGAGACCTTTGTGCAAATTGTGATGTTCCTCAAAGCTGCTTTTTTAGACCCCATGATCACTAGGCGATATCAATTTTTGACCTGTCGATTTTTGGAGAATTTTGATGTCGGAGCGTGCACGATTAGAACCTTACTTATAATCTCTATGTTTGCCAATAGTGGCAGAAGTGTGGTTTTAATTACAAATTGGTTAGACCACATGCGGTTTGCTTAATCACAGCAATATTTTTGTGGATAATGGTTTGATTGTGTTTAGCTAGATTATGATTTTTATGATTGGGACTACCACAATAGTGAAATAAAAACAACAATATTTTGATCTCTTATATTTTAGTGTTTAATATTTAATGCTAATAAATGTGAATATAAAAGTTTAGGTAATTGTATAAAGTTTAGTAGTTAGGACTTTAGGCACCACTTAGTATCATTTCTAGTTTTTGTTTTCATATGTTGTTGTGTCAACAAGAGTTGTCAATACTCAATACAATGTTTAATCGCTTCTCATTCCTTCCATCTCCTTCTCTCGTGCCCTTTTCTATTATAAACTAGGGTCTAGATGTCGGCCGGTTGACGTAAACCAGTCAGGGAGCCTCGATGCTGGAGGCAGCCACGATAGCAGACAAAGCTCGTGCTCCTTCAACGTTGCGAGCATGATAGGTTTCTGCCCATCGCTAACATCGGAAGGAGCGCTAAAGATGCCAAGGAGAAAGTTTAGGATTGTGTCTCCGAGTTCATCAGTTTCATCATTAGCGAATAAGGATTGCACTATTAACAATTAAGGACAGGAAAGAAGGAAGCGAATAACAACACTTCTGTTTTGGAAAGTGAAAACTTAATTCTTTCATTTCATCAGCTCTTCTTAAATAGTCTGATCTTGTGGTTACAAAGCTCCAACACTTAGGAAGAAGAAGACAAACGTGTTACTGAAGAAAGTAAAACCCGAAAAAAGAATGAGTACTGCTAGTGAACTTTGCTAATTCGTCTAGAAACTACATCACTCAATGTGCGTCGCGGCTTTTTATCTAACGAAGACACTTTAACCTAAGTAAGTCTCCTTATTCCAATGGCGTCATCTCATCTGGAGTAGCGAACACCCCTCAAAGACTGAAGTGAACATCGACGCACCTCACAACCACCACCGCCATCAAATCTCCCCTCTCTGCTTAGCGCCTCACTCCACCAACCACTACCATCGACGAAGAATTATGCATCCCCACAAAAACCAAAGTCCAATGGCCTGGTCATTTTCCTAGAACCGGATCCTCATATGATTTTACACTGTGTGGTCAATAACCATAAGTTGTTGAGTATCTTCCCTGGAGCGAGATTATAAAGGAGGATCCACTCTCTCCATACTTGTTTCAACACTATGTGGAGGGACTCTCGGTGTGTACAACGAGTCTCATTCAACTAACACAATGTGTTTCTGTCGTTGCTAATCTCTTTTTTTCTTATGACAACATATTTTTTGCCAGGTCCACTGTGCATGAAGGTTTGGAGCTAAAAAAATCCTTAATGATTATGAATGAGACTCGAGTCAATAGTTAATTTTCAAAAGCTCGAGGTCTAATTTAGTAACCATGTAAAGCCACATCAAAAGCTTGAAGTGGGTAGCGTACAAGATATGAGGCTAGTCGAAAAGCATGATAAACGGTCTTGAGATTGTGGTTGGGTGGTCTAAAAAGGAGTTGTTTGTTCGGCATATGGAGCGAGTGAAATTGAAACTGAAGTTTCAAGCGATATCCTGTATAGATGGATAATGGGAAGTGGCACCATATTCGATGTGAAGCCGACATGCTTGTTGATTACACTTTATTTATAGTGTTTCTCACTTCCATTCTTGATACATTTTCCCCTTCTATAAATGCATCTTTAGTCATTTCAAGGGTATTTATTGTCTAAATAAAAATAATTTGATCAATGAGCTTTTAATAGACCTACACAATGTTCTTGTACTCTTTGATGCCTTCTTGGTATGTTTTTATGATTTTGAAGGTACAAAACAACACAAGGAAGATTGGATTAATCATCGAAGAACTCTGGAGGCCCAAATGAGCTATAAAGAAAAGATTAAGAAGCTTTCGTGAGAAAAAATTGGTCCAATGATGGAGAGGGCAACTAAAAGTTGCTACATTATCTCAAAACAAGCCCATAGGAGGAAGACTCAGTCCAATTTTAAGAAAAAAATGAGTGGCAGCCCAAGCAACGGATCCAACCGCCGCTCCATCAAGTTGCAACCATATCATCAGGAACAGATGTCCATGGACCAGGAAGCCCAACCCATGAAGAAATAGAGCAACGAGTCCAATCGCTGCCATATCCCCGCTCTTCCTTGTCTTGTTTATGAAGTTTACTCAGCCTACAAGTTTTGTGAGACTTTTTCCTAGTCGGTTTAGGATGTTTTAGGCCGGGATTCTCCCCCTATAAATAGAGGGCATTACTCATTGTCTTAGTAAGGCTGCACAAACACATAATTTCTCTGTAACACTCTACTCGAGTGCTTAGCCTAGTTGAAGTAGGGGGTCTGCAACTAAGGAGATGATGTCATCATCAATGGTGGTACCTTCCTTCTCCTCTATGTAGCTAGTCGAAATTGATTGTATTAGGATGTGATCTTGTTTATTGTTATGTGAATAAATGTTATGATTTCATCTCATGATTGTGTTAGTCTATGGAATTTTGATGCTATTGCCTATGTATGGATGCTTTTAGTTTCGATGCTTGTGTGAAGATCATTGATGGTTCTATATTATAAAGACTCTTGTATCATCGATATGTTTATGATTCTATTGTATGCTACTATATGCATTGTGTTCAGTATTACCTATGTTGTTCAAAAGTTACCATATAGGGATATCCCATTGAGGCTACACGAGTGTGGGAGGCTTGATCAACCATATATTGCTTCAAGAAGTATCAATGCTTGGTTGTTAGATCATTGATGCTATAGACTATAGTTATGGTTCATAGAAGCCCACAATTAACTATATGCTATTCTAACATTCTTGTTCTTCGTTGATTAGGTAATGGCAGGAAGCTAAAGCACACATTAGCTAGTTAAATCTCTATCGCAAGAGGCACATAAACGGGTAGAGAGTATCATTGGAAGAAAGGATATGGTGTTACAAACTTACAATAGATGAACCATCGATGCATGATATGAATGAACTATAGTTTGCATGACAATCTTCAAGTTCACTACCTTTTACAATAATGTATCTTTACTTTTATGCATCTATAAACCAAAAACCCCTAAACAACTTTACTCTTCTTACTTTGTTTGTTTATTTCGTGTATGGCATGAATGGTTGGTGTGAGTAGTTATGCATTAAAAGACATCGACGAATACGACCTTAACTTGTCTGCACATCACCTGCTAATTAGGAATGGCAATGGGGAAAATCCGGGGCGGGCATCCAGATACCCATACCCGCCCCATGGCAGGTCGGGACCAGGTCGGGTAATTTATTACGGGGCGTGGGTCGACCCAATGGGTATATGTAATTTATGTGAAAAACATTAGAAATATTCGTTATTTTCATTAAAAGACCAAGAAAGAAACCATAATATGATAAAATCTAGTTAAATTATTGAAGAAATTGAGGTTTTCACTTGATTGCAACTTTTTTATAGCTAAAATATAATGTAATAAGAGGAAAATCCTAAGTAATTTGACTAAGATTTTATGTAATTTAGGCAAGAAAGGGTCGAGAATGGGGCGGGTCATGGCAGGTCGGGTCGATGAGAGGTACCCATGCCCGCCCCGCCCCAAAACAGGCCAAACAGGTCGGGTAAATCGAGTCAAGTCAAAATTGTGATCCCTACTGCTAATATTATGGCTCAAACAAATAGATGACCAAGGAAGAATTTTAAAAAACCCACTCCACCCCAACTTTTTCTTCAACCAATTTTAGGGTTCTTTTCTTCCCTGCCCAATTCGGAACGTAGTGAATTCCCCCTTCATCCTGATCGGGAAGAAGGAAAGAAACCCAGAGACCAATGAAAGCACAAAGGCTGTGAAACCAATTAGCATTACAAACAAACCAGAGCCAGTATTGACTCCAACCCCGATTGCCAGCCCATCATAATTTCCTCCGTCGTCGAGCTCAAGCTGTGAGTCACAAATTAACTCCTCGATTACGAGGAAGAGAAATGGGAGAAAAACATGCAACCCATCCTTTGACCAGAGGTATCGAATGAGGAGGCGCGGTGTGGTCGTACGTCATTAGCTCGATTACGAGAATCGCAGGGACCATTAGGTTCTTAAGCGCCCGAGAGGCCTTAACAGCGACATTGCATAATCTCTCGAATAAGGTCTTTTTTTCATTCTTGGTCTCAGCAAATTGCGAAGCTCGAGCCTGTTGGGGCGTGTTAGTGTCGTTCGAGGAGTTTAGATATTTTGTCGGGAAGGACACCTAAAGGTGAGCCCGGAAGCAGGGTTCATGGAAGGATTTGTTAGCGGTGGTTCTGAGAGGGCATGAGGAGTAGTGAATTTTTTGAGGCAGCAGAATTTGCTTCCATTTGAGTGGGTTCAATGAAGTAGTTACAGCTTTTGAGGGGAGTTCCGAGAAAGAGTGTGGTGGCGGAAGGAAATTTGGGAAGGAGTTGTAGCAGGGGAGAGAAATAGTAACTCAGCATGTTTGAGACCCACATTCAACTCTGATATGACAAGAAAATATTTTTTTATTTCTATCATTAGTCATCTTGACGGATGTCCATTTCAAAGACATAAGTGGTTCCCGACGTTCTATTCTAATTTAAGTGGCATAGCTGTCCCAATTCTCAAACTTAAGTGGTATTCGAAGTATTTACCCTTGGAAAATATTTTGAATCCCGATTGTGGTCAGACCTGATACAATTGACCGACCGGTAGAGGTTCAACCTTGATCATAAAATTAAAAGGTTATTTGTAGAAATGTATTTTGTGAAAGATCTAGTAAAATGTTAGAGAAGAATAAAAAATGAGAGAGTCACAGTTTTCTTCCACCTCTTCCCGATGCGTGGCGCTTCAATCCTCTGCTACTGGGAACAAAACAGCTTCCACTGCACTCCTCTTCATGTAGATGCGAAAAACCATCTCCCTCTTCATTTCTTGTGGATGCGCGATTCTTAACAACGTCCACCCTTCTTTCTTCTCCATCAACAGATCCCGGCGTCATTCCCCCATTGGGTTCAATAATCCTTCACCCCACTGGCTCATGCACCGTCTTCCGCTTCCTTAATGTAAAACCCACCGCTGCATTCTCCGCCACGATCTCCGGCCGGCGCCATCCTCATTCTAAATCGAGATGACGACTTCTCGCCGGAATTTGATTGCTTCGCTCCCTCTCCTTCTCCTATGCCTCTTCGCATCTCCGTCTCGTTCGATTGACGATTTCCACCAGGCGTACGTTGACTCTCGCCAACTACATGTTAGCTGTTTGAATTTGTTTTCTTTTACGAAAATCTTGGTTCTATGCAGAATGTGGAGAGTGCAGTTTTTCCTGAATGCTTACTTCCTTCTCGATTGCGTTTGTTTGCGGTATTGTTGGGGCGGGGGAGTTTATCGACTTCTTGCGCTGAATATGACATTGTCGGTGGTTATTTACGGTTGCCACTTGGATGTGAAGCTTGATCTGGTAGACTTTAGGGCAGTTGTTAGTTGTGACTCGTAGAATTAGTAATAAAGTTCGAATTTTTTCCAGATTCTAGCTGTGTTTTTGTACTGCAACTAGCTGCCAGAGCCATAATTGTTAAATTAGCGTGGAAAGAAATATGAAGTTGTGGGTTTGGTGCTTGGTGGGTATTGCTTTTAGTTCGGGTGTGTATTGGAGCAATGCGATGCAGCTGAAGTCGAGCAATTTTTGTGTTAACTGGACATGAAGAGACCAATCTTGATTGAGAAAGTGAGCTATGCTCTTCGATAAGATAGGTGTCATTTTTTAGTTTGTCTGTAGCTTTGTTAGTTGGCCAGTTGTTGAGGGTCTTTGAAATTCCTATTTAAGTTAGGTGGATCACTGGATAAGTCTCTGCATATTGTCACTTAGAAATTTTGTTGCTTCTCCCTGACTCGTGGGGGCGTCAGACTTCTTAGGAACACACATTGTTAGCCTTTTTCAAGGCAAAAACTGTGAGCCTGAAGCAACAACTACCTCATTTATAGGATATTATGCTGGAAATGTACTTCAATTCCATCTCTTTCTCGAATTTTTCATTTGTGATATTCTCTGTTTGTTGCTTCAATTCTGTGGTTCAGTTCACAGTAATTTTGAGCCATCTTATATTTTGGGGAGTAGACATCAGATATATGTCATTTTCACTAGTAGTCCCTTTTCTCACAAGATATACTGAAAAGTGATACTGACTTGATAATCTACAGTTCCATTTGTGAGCTCTTGATAGGCTGGAGAAACAAATAATATGTGTGATTTGATTGTTCTCTTTGCATATGCAGGTTTCCCATAGTTGAACCTGATCCAGGACATACAAAACTTCGTCTTTCACGTGAAGGCTTGGAAGCTATCAGAAGAATTAAAAACCCAATTGCTGCTGTTGCTGTATGGCTTAGAATTTGCTTCCCTCCTATCTCACTAATCTCCATGTTTTTATCATAAGACTTCTGAGTACTGCTACTGAAGATATCATATAACAGTGTATCAACATGGCTCAATTCTTTGTTCTTTGTAGCTTTTGAACAATAATTATACCTATTGGCATGTGAGGATACAGTTCTTTCAGAAAGGGAACTTCATGACATGATCCTGGGTTCTAGAATTGTGGAACTAGCATCTCAGTGCTACTGTGGGATCTTCTGAGTTTATTATTGAATTCCCCAACAATTCCAATGGGCTGTAGCTCATTACCATTCCTCTTACCCTTCTATAAGCCTTCATGGAAGAAAGAAATCCTTACAGTTCCAGTTCTATGGAACGCTATACGACAATTTTCAATTCGTCTTGTTTACAATATTGTAAATATCATGCAACAATTTTGCATTTTTTTCCTGACTAATACCTTAATTGTTGGATATTTAGGTTATTGGTCCATATCGCTCTGGAAAATCATTTTTGCTTAATCAGCTTCTTTCCCTTTCTTGTGATGAAGGTGAGATTATTGAATATGATTTTACTCTTATATTTGAGTTATTGTATTTAAAGTAGGGAAAAGAGAGATACATTCAATTGACATTACAGTTATTTTTTACCTTCAGGATTTGGTGTTGGACATATGCGTGATACCAAAACAAAAGGTACTATGAGTTCGAAAAATTGAGGCACTTAAAATATTCTTCACCTGTTTTATGTAATTTTTTTATATTTCTTTTTCATCAGGAATTTGGGTATGGGGAACCCCCGTAGAGTTAGACATCAATGGAGTAAAAACATCCGTCTTTTACCTAGATACTGAAGGTTTTGAAAGTGTTGGCAAGTCAAACGTCTATGATGATAGGTAAATTGAATGGCTGCCCAGTTTGCAACTTGTCCATGGTGATTTTGAGCTGTGCATGGCCAACTGACATTTATTTTTGCAGGATATTTGCTCTTGCAACAGTCTTGAGTTCCGTGCTTATTTATAATCTTCCAGAAACGGTTAGTGCCTTTTTCTGCGGTGTTTAATATGAATAAGATTGTCGACTGAGTAAAGTCTGGTTTGTTGGCTATACAAATACGTTGTCTTAGGATCTCGTTGTGTCCTAGATTATTTTTCTTCTTTTGGAGGCTAAGCTGTTAATAATTGAAGGTTGCTTTCATTTAGAGTCATCAATGATTGAAGTTTGATATTATATGGACGATTTATGGTCCACTGGATCAGCACTCGATGGAAGTTCTTAATTTTAGAAAATTCACGGTATCATCAGTGTGGTAGAGGTTAGGTCTTTATCATGCAAAATCAGTTATGCATAGGCTTTCATGAGGATCAATTGTCACATATCATTGAAATACTCTATAATTCTAGGATCCAATAACAATTGTCAAAAGTTGGATGCCTTACTTCCTAATTAGTGATTCAGCTTAAACAGTATAGATCCCTTTAAAACAAACCCCTTGTCCCTGTTCTGAATTTTCCAAGCCAAGGAAATGCACAGAAGTTAGCGATAGCCGCCTCCTCTGCTCTCCCCTCATTCTCCTTCCCAAACGCAGGGCTATCCTCTAATGGAAACCCTTGGGTATCTTGAAACAGAAAGGGAAGGTTTCGTGTTTAACTCTCAGGTCCTCGAGTTTGGAGTTCTTTTAGAAACATGGAAAGAGTTTGTTGTATTACCTGTGCAAGTTGTAACCATATATGTAAGGAACCAAGGGCGCTCGATCAGGCTGTGTTTCATCTAGTATAACATTTCAGGAGCAAAACTTTAAGTTTTAGGAGAACGAGGAGAAGAGTGTCTTGTATAGGTATATAAAAAGTTGAGTCAATGAATTGAAATGTAAGTCTTTATTAACAAATATAAAGGTGAGTATGTTGTATTGGCTAAGATGTGTATACTATTGGGATCCACCAAATGAAGCTGCATGGTAGAAATGAGGGGCAAAAAATGGACAGAAATCAAAATGTCCTAATCATTAACTGAGAGTCCAACCTGTTCAATGAGTCCCATATGGCTTTAGATTTTATATGCGATCTTTAGATTTAATATTTTAGACAATTTGTCTGGTCTATCTTAAATTTGCTTGCTGTACTTTTACTTCTTAAGTTTTAGAGGCCTGTCAAAGTTTCATCTATCGTTTATAAGAAACAGACCAGGTTTCAGAGGCCAACTTAGTAGAGAAAACAAGCACAAACCTTTTTTTTGCGTGACCCCATAGCTTAACACTTTTTGAGTTTGTATTATTATTGTAGTCTTTGACCTTTCTCATCATATTACTTCTACCAATTCTTATGAATGATCGTGGGTCTTTGTGCCAGATCCGCGAGGCTGATATTTCTCGCCTGTCATTTGCTGTTGAACTTGCTGAAGAATTCTATGGAAGGTTTGCACTTTTCTACTCACATGGTGAAGCAGTATGTGAACTACTTTGTAAATGTGGTTGTCATTTATGTATAACTAACATGAGGTTATTCTATTGGTTGGCTGGCTTATCTTCACGGAGAATAGAGTGAAGGTAATGTTCTTGGTCTCTTGGCTGATGACCATGGTGCATCTCTTTACAATAATTTATGGTGCATCTGTAGTTGATGGCACTTCCTCTCTTCAATTTCCTAACAGGGTGAAGATGTTGCCTTTGAACCTTCGAAACTTCTTTGGCTTATCCAACGAGATTTTCTTCGTAAGTTCACTAATGCTTCGGTATCATGTTTGAGTAGGTTTCACTGTAAGCTGTTTTGCTTCTTTCAAGCAATACTCAAGATTTGAGGAATCTTCTATAGGCTAGTAGAAGTAGAAATTGTGAAGTTTAGACCACTATAGTATCACTTGCATCTGTAGCCTGCACTTAAGCGGGGCATGATTCATTTTTCTTTTTTAACCTTCTGTTATTTTTCAGAGGGGAAATCAGTGCAGGAGATGGTGAATGAAGCCCTTCGACGTGTGCCCAATCAAGATGGTTAGTTTACTCCAGTGAGTAGAATTTTTATTTTAAGTGCATTCACTTCATTTTGGAAAAGTTCTGATTGTGGAAATGGGATGTTATTCTAATTGCAGGAGACAGAAATATTGATCAGGTATTGATTCTTTTTTTTCTTCTTCCATATTTAACTTTATTATTATTATTATTATCAGAGAGCTCCCTGCCTTCCTAGATTGTAATAGTATTGTGCTTTTGGATGTCACCAGGTTAATCAGATCCGAGAATCATTGGCTATAATGGGCGACAACAGCACAGCTTTTAGCTTGCCACAAGTATGGGTCACTCACTACTTATTGCAGTTGACTTTTGACCTTCACTGTTTTTGGGGAGTGCTTGAGGGATTAGTTTATCTTTCTAGTGCCTCTCTTAACACTGCCAAACGAATATTGACAGCCTCACCTCCACCGGACAAAGCTTTGTGAAATGAAAGACGGTGAGCTTGAGCAATTGTATGTCTCAAGAAGGGACAAATTGAAAGATCTTGTTTCCAGTATCATTCGTCCAAAGATTGTGCAGGGTAAATCCATGAACGGGGAGGAGTTTGTAGCATTCCTTGAGCAGGTAACATAAATAGAGCATGCTAGTTTCTAAAATGTCTTGCTTTGCTAGTTGCCACATTGATTGTACTCACCCCTGACTTGCACTATTCAGATTCTTGAAGCCTTGAATAAAGGAGAAATACCATCAACTGGATCTCTTGTGGAGGTTTTCAACAAGGCTATCCTCGAGAGATGTTTGAAAATATACAGTGAAGGCATGACTAAATTAAATCTGCCACTGACAGAGGAATCTGTGCAAGATGCCCATGGAAGGTCAAGGGAAACAGCGATGAAAGTATTTGATGAACAACATTTTGGCCGTCATCATGCAAAGAGATCTGTCATGCAACTGGATGAAGAAATTGATAAGGTACTACTAATACAATCAGCAATCTCGCTAGTATGTTTCTTTTGCTGCTAATTAATAAAATTTTTGGGTTATGTGTGGCTAAAAGAAAAACGGTTTTGGTCTGTCCGTGTCTGTCCTTTAATTAGGTGCAGGTGAAAGAATGTGAAAGTCTTATGTGCTAGTCTGCGATTCACTCATCTTTTATAAAGCTGGTTATAATGTTGAACTCAATATGGTCCCAGTGGTGTAACTCTCTCATCTTTTCTCCTAATTATAAAAATCTAAATGCCTTCCACAATTTTGAATCTTGAGATAAGAGGCCCCCACTCTCTGAAACCGTTGAACTGGACTGACTGAATCCGTGGGCTTTCAGATCATATGCAAGAACATCCAAGCAATCCATGCATATCCACTTTCTTTCACTACTGGCTGATTGGATATTCAGTGAAAGTCAAATCACATTCACTTTTGCATCTTTAATTAATCAAAATGTGGATGGCCTGTTGATTTCTGGTGTGGTGCATTTAGCACTGCGCTGTTTGGTATGGTGATGCCTGCAACTGTCTAAGTACTTGTAGCCTTGAGACTGAATCCCACTTGGTCTTAAATTTCAGTATAGGGCTGTAAAAGTATCTGAATATTCTGGATACGATTTTTCTTCCCTAATTTTCTCGAGTTACTTGTAGGTTTTCAAGCACATCATTATGGCAAATGAGTATCAATCTGCAAAACTCTGCGAGGCGCTATACTCTAGTTGTGAGGACAAAATGGACCAGCTTCAAGTCCTAAGACTTCCTTCCATGGCAAAATTCAATGCTGGGTTCTTGCAATGCAACCGGAGTTTTGAGCAGGAGTGTGTCGGGCCTTCAAAAGCAGTATACGAGAACCGCATGATGAAGGTAAGGCATCCTCATTCAGTTAATTCGTTTAATTGGTGCTTTTATTATGGATAACAATAGAAACCCTGAACCGTTGGACGTGTGTAATCAATTTTCACAGATGATGGGGAAATCGAAATCCCAATTTATAAAGGAATACAACCACAGGCTGTTCAACTGGTTGGTGACTTTCTCCCTTGTGATGGTGGTATTAGGCCGTTTCATTATAAAGTTCATTTTGATCGAGATCAGCGCGTGGATACTCTTCATCTTCCTAGAGACATACACTAGAATGTTTTGGTCAGCTGAGTCGCTTTATTACAACCCGGTCTGGCATTTCATAGTAGCAACCTGGGAGACAGTCGTTTACAGCCCTGTCCTTGATTTAGATAGGTACCCTCGTCTATCTCCTACCCTTATTAAATCTGCACTTCACTGTCACTTCTTTATTTCATTGAACTCCATTGATTTCTCAAATTTCCCCCCCTACAGATGGGCGATACCCGTGGTTTTGATAATTGCGATTCTGCTGCTATATTGGCGGTGTTATGGCCGAAGGAAACACGGGTCAAGATGGCTATTGCCAGTATACAACACCACGAAAAACGGCACCAACAGACCAAGAACAGACTGAGGCAGTTGGCGGCTCTAGGTACGTGGCCTGAAAGTTCGAAACATATTAGCGTCTACCATGACATGATGCCTTGCCCTACTTTTTGTTGTTCAACCAAAAAATTTGGGTGATCTCTTTGCGTTGTTGTAGCTCTTTTCTGTACTCGTTGTACACACCGAGAGTCCCTCCACATAGTGTTGAAACAAGTATGGAGAGAGTGGATCCTCCTTTATAATCTCGCTCCAGGGAAGATACTCAACAACTTATGGTTATTGACCACACAGTGTAAAATCATATGAGGATCCGGTTCTAGGAAAATGACCAGGCCATTGGACTTTGGTTTTTGTGGGGATGCATAATTCTTCGTCGATGGTAGTGGTTGGTGGAGTGAGGCGCTAAGCAGAGAGGGGAGATTTGATGGCGGTGGTGGTTGTGAGGTGCGTCGATGTTCACTTCAGTCTTTGAGGGGTGTTCGCTACTCCAGATGAGATGACGCCATTGGAATAAGGAGACTTACTTAGGTTAAAGTGTCTTCGTTAGATAAAAAGCCGCGACGCACATTGAGTGATGTAGTTTCTAGACGAATTAGCAAAGTTCACTAGCAGTACTCATTCTTTTTTCGGGTTTTACTTTCTTCAGTAACACGTTTGTCTTCTTCTTCCTAAGTGTTGGAGCTTTGTAACCACAAGATCAGACTATTTAAGAAGAGCTGATGAAATGAAAGAATTAAGTTTTCACTTTCCAAAATAGAAGTGTTGTTATTCGCTTCCTTCTTTCCTGTCCTTAATTGTTAATAGTGCAATCCTTATTCGCTAATGATGAAACTGATGAACTCGGAGACACAATCCTAAACTTTCTCCTTGGCATCTTTAGCGCTCCTTCCGATGTTAGCGATGGGCAGAAACCTATCATGCTCGCAACGTTGAAGGAGCACGAGCTTTGTCTGCTATCGTGGCTGCCTCCAGCATCGAGGCTCCCTGACTGGTTTACGTCAACCGGCCGACATCTAGACCCTAGTTTATAATAGAAAAGGGCACGAGAGAAGGAGATGGAAGGAATGAGAAGCGATTAAACATTGTATTGAGTATTGACAACTCTTGTTGACACAACAACATATGAAAACAAAAACTAGAAATGATACTAAGTGGTGCCTAAAGTCCTAACTACTAAACTTTATACAATTACCTAAACTTTTATATTCACATTTATTAGCATTAAATATTAAACACTAAAATATAAGAGATCAAAATATTGTTGTTTTTATTTCACTATTGTGGTAGTCCCAATCATAAAAATCATAATCTAGCTAAACACAATCAAACCATTATCCACAAAAATATTGCTGTGATTAAGCAAACCGCATGTGGTCTAACCAATTTGTAATTAAAACCACACTTCTGCCACTATTGGCAAACATAGAGATTATAAGTAAGGTTCTAATCGTGCACGCTCCGACATCAAAATTCTCCAAAAATCGACAGGTCAAAAATTGATATCGCCTAGTGATCATGGGGTCTAAAAAAGCAGCTTTGAGGAACATCACAATTTGCACAAAGGTCTCGTTAGGTTGGTGAGTTATTGTTGGAATCGTTTCGACAAGATGAACGCACCGAATTTGAAATTTATAAGAAAAAATAACGAGCCAAAAATCGGTGTCACCCTCACCCCTTAGGGATCATGGATCCTAGAAAAAGGCAAGATGCAAAGCTCTTGGCATAGGTTTGAGGGGGCATGGGAGTTATCGTTGGCTTCATGTCAACGATAGGAAGATACGGAGACAAATTATCACAATATTCAACGATATTATGACAATATATTCATGCGCGTACAATATATTAGTTGGGATGGGAATATACTTGAAAATAACAGAAATTATACACACAAAAAACATATAGAAAATATATTGCGTAAATAGAGAAATATTTGTGAAAGAACAAATAATAAGGTGAGAAAATACAAATAAATACAAGAAAAATATAAGAAAATACAAAAAAATTTGCAAAACATGTTGTGGACTATAACTTGCAACAGGCCAACCATTAGAGTTTGTTTTTGTACCTTTTTCCCATGAAAAATTCAAAACACTGAGCAACATTCTATTCATAAAAAACACATAAAAGTATGTTTTCCAATAACTCTTTACATTATGAATTGACGCCTTAGCAGGAAAACCCTCGCTTTTTGCCTCTTAAGCGAAACAAAGGAGTTTTGCAACACATTACCATCAAATGTTGGACGAAATCAGAGCTTGCAATCATGCTATTCGAGGAAAGTGCTCTAAAAAGGAAAGAAAGGCTTTTGGCCTTAAAACCCTCTTGTTGTCCAAGGCTATTTCGCCTCCAGCATTATATATAGCTCCTTCGAGTTACTTGGTATTTCAACTTTTGCATTTTTTAGAGAAGTGGTATAGGGCTTCTTTTTTTAGTGTAAAAGGGTTCTCTTCTCCAGGGGTATAGGTTCTGTGAGTGTGATTGAAAACATAATTGGTGTTGACTCTGTGCATCTAATCTTGTTTATTTCTTACATTTATTTGCTGTATTTTTCGAGTCTCTAATCATAAGAATAATAGTTTCTCTCGGTAATAGTGTGGACTATTGTCGGGACGTGGACGTAACCATTTTCTGGGTGACCCACGTTAAATTGCGCTTGTGTTCTTTCATTTCTATTTCTTGCTCTGTTCTATCTAATTTCCTTCTATTCTTTCGTTCTCTGGGCACAATCCCTAATACCTCTCCCAGATCGAATAACAAGTGGTATCAGAGCCTTCATTTGAAGAGCTCACTACTGCTAAAGGGTAACGATCAATGGGAACAAATTTTGCTGCTGCCTTTGGTCCTGCATCCCATCATAATCTGCCATAGTTCACAGGTTCAAATTACAATGTCTGGAAAAATGCATGAAGATATTCATGTGGGGAATCGATGCAGATCATGTGGATTATTGTAAGAGATGGACCGGTAGAAATGGATCCAAAGCGTTAAAATGATTGGACGGATGCGCAGAGGAAAAGTGCACAACTTAATTGTCGTGCTATGCATATTCTACAGACTGCCATTTCGCCTGACAAATTGACAAAGTGGAGCAATGTGAAACATGGAAAGAAATCTGGACCATTCTTGAGGCAACATATGAAGGTATGCCAAACATCAAGGAAACTCATATTGATTTTCTAATGCATGCATACAAGACCTTGATATGCAACCAAATGAAGGAATTCATGACATGTATTCCAGGTTTACTAGTTTGACGAACAAATTGAAAGGACTGGGTAGAATTATCTCATCTAAGGATATGGTTGGAGAAATTCTTCGATCCTTACCTCAGGAATGGCTGCTTAAACGTACACCCATAGAAGAAGCTAGAAATCTAAATATCATGACTGTAGATGAGCTTCAAACAAGTTGGAAAGGAGGATGAAGGACGATGAAAAAGTCTGGCCTTCAAGATTCGTGTGTATGAGTATGACTCATACAATGACATCGATGCTGATTTCGAAAAGGAACTTGCAAGGGTCAGTAAGAATACTCATCGTATGATGAAGTACAAAAATGATCAAAAGCAACGTTATGCAGAAAAAAGAGGTCGATATGAGTCACAAAATTGCTTTCAAGAGTCAAATAATTGGTTTTCAGGGTCAACTAGTCGTTATTCTGATTCAAATAACTGGTTTCCTGAGTCAAACTATCGTCAAAACGAGTCCATGAATCGTATTGGAGATTCTGGGAGAAATAATGTCAATCATGATTATTTTAAGAATGCTTCTTTTGAGAGATTTTCTTCGCAGGAATAGGACATGACCGCAGGAGCAAAAAATCGTGAACCACAATTGCTATAAGTGTGGAAGGATGAGACATGTAAGAGCTAACTGTCCATTAACCCTAAAAGCCAAGGAAAGAGCGATGGTTGCATCTTGGAGCGACTACAAATATGAAGATGATGATGAAGGACAGACTGAAGAAGCATACATGGCCAAGGAATTTGATTCCAACTCTGAACAACGCAAACTAGCTGAAGAAACAACAACACATGACATGGAGTTTTATGAGACAGAGAGCAAATGGTATTTGGACAGTGGTTGTTCGCATCATATTACTGATAACAAAGCTCTTTTCTCTACTTTAGATTACAAGTTGGAAGGAGAAGTAGTGTATGGAGACAACAATGCAGGCATAATTGTGGGACAAGACACTATTTGATATGATCCCAAACCCATTGAATTCCAAACCTCACAAGATCAATCAAGAAGCTGGATCAATCACGGATAAAGAGAGGGAATTTTGGCCAAGTCATTTTGGTGTTTCAGGGTACCATCTTTGGCAGCTTGCTTTTCCCAAATGGCTCAATAGAAATTCAAGTTCAAGGTGTCATTTTGAAGATAAAGTTATTATCTTCACGTTGGTATCTTGTGGAGCTCATGGGGGGGTCTGGAACATTGTTTTCGAAGCTCATCAAAAAGCTACCTCAAAGCAGGAAACCTGCCAGAATTTGGCTAAGGCAGAAAGCTGTTCCGAGATGCCAACTTTGAAGGCCTATATCTGGAGTTTGGAGTATGAGTTTAGGCTGATTCAAGTTGGAGGTGAAAAAGGAAGTGTTCTTATTCAAAGGCAAGGAATTGGTTGAGTTTGAATGTCCCTAGAAGACCATTGTTGAAGACCTCAAAGATGCTATGAAGCCTGTTTTTCCAGGCAGCTTTGCTTGCGTTTTAAGTTAGTTTCTTGGCCAGCAAGTTACATTGTTGTACACGTATTCTTTAGCCTTTTCCTGTTCTAATTAGTTTCCTTGTTAGCTTAGAAGTGTAATAGGTTTTCTTGGGCTATAAAAACCCTTTAGTTCGCATTGTAATAGGCAGAATGCGGTTGAATGAATTTTACCCCAATTCCCAAGCTTGAGAGTTTGTGAGTTTGATTGGTTTTTGGTTGCGATCAAAAACTTGCTGAACCTTGCTTATCAATCGAGAATCGCCCTCGATTGCATCGAAAGCTTCCTCATAACGAGTGTGCATCCTTCCAGGTGTAAGGGTTCCCGTTCGTTTCCATCCGAAATTGAGTTTGTGAGAGCTTGACTAAGCTAGGGTCGAGTTATGTGTTTAATACGAGAGCATCTTCTTGACCTAACTAGCTCACTGCGCGACTTTGATCCCTTGAGACTCGAGTTTGGGCTCATCAAGTGCCATCTATAGCCCGGTTCAACGTAGTGGACACAAGTATGGAGATAACGAAAGAGGGCGGCGCCGGAGCAAGTCACTGGACGAGGTCGAAGGGCCCTATCTCAGGTGACCCTGCCCTGCTATTATCCGAACAGAATAAGAAGAAGAAACAAGCAGCAACAGCTGCACCAAAGAATCAAACTTCCAACCCTGCATCAGCTTCTCTTCAATCGGAATTGACGATGGGAGAGGCTCAACCTGTTACGATGGCAG